CTGATCACATTTCCTGCAGTCAGTAAACCTCATCCTTAGATGTCTAACTGAATGTCCTCACTCTCAAACTGGGCTGTTTTTCTGTGCAAACAGGTGATCTCTCTAAACTAACTGTCGCCTGTTTATTCCTTGTTCATGCAAAGAATAACATTTGTCCTTATCAACACAGCAGCAAGTTGTGAATATTTCATCACAGTAAAGGACAAGAATACAAGAGGTCAGATCTCAAACATTTTCCAGTGTGCCGTTCATCCTGTTTGCTGTTCAATATACATCCATTCAATAGCCAATTCAAATGTAGTTTTACTCCCTTGAATATACTGAGCGAAAGTTGTGCGCTGGGTAGCTGAGGCTTGAATGTATATGTGTGTGTGTATATGTATATATATATATATAACAGAAGAAAGGTTCCAAGCTCAAAAAAATCAGTCATACGCTCTTTCGCTTGATTCCTATTGTTAAGAAACAAACATGATTATCCATCATTTGTCTGTCTTGAAAATCTGCTCTACAAACAGAGAAAGGTGCATTTGATATAAACGATAGAACATTTCTATCTATTTATAGTTTGCTCTGAAGAAATGAAGAGCACTTAGCAGCACTTCTGTTATTTTTGGACTAAGAAGCAGTGAAGTATCACTGGGACCCGAGCGTTTACAGAAAACATGGTTAGCACATCATCGGCCGGTATCACTCCCCTGACAGTCTGCGTTCATTCTGATCAGCTCAAAATCCAACTGTTAACAACAGTTTTGGGGTCTTTCGCACGGAATTATGTGTGGACATTACCTGTGAGTGCGTGGGATAATATTCAGGGAAAAAGACATCAATAAGGAAATGAGAAAAACAATGACTTTACCACACGTTCACGCAGGAAACGTGTGGAACCACCGGCTTTCTGCATTAGAGATCAGATCATGTTAATGTCCGCTTCAAAATGATTCAAAACATAAAATTTGGCACCGGGGCTTGCTCAGGCTGGACTAATCATTCAAATTCTAAAACTGAACAAAACGCACTGTTCCTCAAGTAGAAAGTATTTAAACACAAGTATCCAACTCACAGGCAGAAGCAGACCCGCAAAGGAGATCTGATAATTCTGCACTGCGATTTGCAATATTTTTTTTTAAAGAGGGGTCCTAAACATCCATTGTTAGGACAGTTTCTAAACCTCAAACAGCTAATTTCCTTCACCTGCCTAAACCGTGGCATCAAACCGGGATAACACTCCACTAATTTAATGCCAAGCTGCTACTACACAGAGGCTGATAGATGGTCTAACCACAAATAAATAAGCACTGTGATCCTCATCTGGACTTCTAACCACTGCAGCAGGTGCTTCTAATGGGACACCAGCAGGTGAGGTCTGGTGATTGATCAATAACATACCATAGAATCCACCGCCAGCTGTTTACATGGGTTTCAAAGTCAAATTATTTGCGCCCGTTTGCTCTTCAATGTGCCAGTAAATAGAGAGTGTGGATCCCAGTGAGCTCTGCAACTTCAGGAGCGAGAGATGATCAGTGAGTTCGTTAACACTATCCTTCATACAAGTTAAAGGACAACTTGAAACACATTCCCAACTCCCTTCACCTTGCCCCTATCACTCATCACCTTCAAACTCCCTCTTAAGTACCCATATCTCTCGATCGTGTTTTTGGTCAGCACCCTCTAACACTCTCTTCCGACTTCCGGATTGCTCCATCAATGTCAGCTGGCAATCGGCAACCCAGCAGAATCTCAGCTTTGCTATCTATAATGTTCTTGCCCATCTCGCACTGCAGATCCCAATGTGCGTATCGCACCCAACGGAGTGGCCAAGGTAGAATGAATGTAAGACAGCAAACGTATAAAAGTGGGAATCAGCATTTCTCCCTGCACATTGGGTACAAGGCATATCTAACACACATAGGCACATAAGGCGTTCTCCTCTGGATTAAAATGTTATTGCCAGAGAATTCCTTCAGAAAGGTTCTTTTTAATATCATCAACCCACACCCACAAGCTGCTGGCTTCTACAGTCTCATTTCATACGTGTACGTGTGTAATAAGTTTGAGATGTAGCTAAAGATACTTGAGAACAGCTTTGCACGTAGGTACCCAAAGGCTTCCAATGCATTGCAAATACTGCAGCTCGCCAAAAAAAAAAGCACACTGTTCCATTACAGATGTCATGATGACCAAACAAGTAACCTAATCTCTCGAATCAAACAAAGGAACCTGATCTGGAGGGAATTTGAACAATTTGACATGTGCCACTGAAGTATAATCCAGGTATAGAGCAACCAAAATATTTGATTGTGACAAGCAGTATAGCCTATAATCAGCTCAAATGGCACGCCTTGCCTTAAAGTTAATGCACAGGATTTGATGTAATGGCCCCACTGACGTCCTAGCTAAGAACGGCTTACTTAACTCAGCAGACTGATTGATGATCCTCCAACCTGGGACTGTCCCAAGTCTCCATGGCTTAGTTACAAACTAAGCAGTCATTTTACCAACTGAGCCAGCTGGGGTAAGGGAGGGGGGGAAGAGGGGGAGGAGAAGCTTCTGGTTGATAACCCCTTGGGAAAACAAAAAAAAACACACCAGAACCCGATAAAAAACAAAACATAGGGTACTAAAGCCCTGAGTGGAGAAAACCGCTTACCTAGAGCGGGTCATCACCCACTGAAAGTATTTCTTAAAAAAGGTTTAGGAACACTGCAAATTGTCCCCTCATTTTACGGGAGTAAGATGTTTCGTTGGAGGTTTTTGTCCATTTCGCAAGCTCAAAAACAGTCCTTAGCTCAAGCTCTGCCCTAGCTATGAAAAAGCCCAGAGGGACTTGAGCATAAGTCAACCAGATGCCTTTTCTAATCTCCTCAAACTGGAAGCCCAGCCTAAGAGTGTGAGAAATACCTGCAATGATAGAATTCAGTGCTCCGGAGATCACCGGTTCTTCAATCCAGGCTCAGTACATGGAAATGTGGCCAAGTCACCAGTGTTGCCCCAGTAATACTATGTTTTTGAGTCAGCCCTGGAGCAAAGTTGACCCTTGAAATGATTCGCACCAGGCGTTGATTCTGCACTCGTAGGTCAATCCAACAAAGCGTATCCAACTTCAAAATGGGGAGAGGAAGATGGCATTGGAAAAGTAACAATTGTTCGCAACCAAGAAACTAAAACTTGTTCTGCTTATGAAGTGTACAAATTATACTTTATAGGGTTACAAAAAGCCACCAGTCAAAGACCAATCTAAAGACCAATCTACTGAGTATTTGGATAACTTTGCACTAACAGTGCATAACTTTGAAAGTTTTGTTACCGTTCAGTTAAGCGGGGAGGTGGGGGGGTGGGTGACACGGCAGACCAGGTTTCCTTTCCAGGTCCTTCTTGGAAGTGGACTGGATATGCTCCAGATCTCAGCTGGAAAGCGGACAGGATATCGGGCAGCACAGGATCAAGCTTGGCTGAGATTCTCCCCATGACCACTTGAAAAGGTTGGCCAATAGAGCAGTGGTATAGTATACATAGCAGCAGAAGCCAGTGGCCGCCACGAAAGAGAAGCAGAGAAGATTTGCAACACGTAAAGACTTGGAACATTTAACAAACTCAAGCTTTGCTTCAATGCTGCCTCGACCAGACTGTACCTACAAGTTACGCTCCTTATGATCTACCTCACTGAATTCCTTGCCTTACAGCTTACGTGAACTCAATTCGCTTTGCAGTTTCTTAGGTGTACTCAACAACAAAGTGCTCGATGAGATAACACCCAAAGACTACACGATTCCATTAGCACGTGATTAATGCTGCATTAGGAAAGTTTCATGACATGCCGAGAACTCAACTGCTTCCGTTACCTTCAGGACAATGCTGAGTCTGTAACTCTTGGCTCCTGATGAGCCAGCAGACAAGGGCATTCACACATTTATCTATCCATCAGTTTAAAAACAGTGTACTTTTTGAAGAGCCAAATTCCTGGTAGGAACAACTATTGGTGTAGCAGATTTGAGAGTGTGATATCTTTCGGCTTGGTGTCAAAGTACAAACTCTACAATACACCATCACCAAATACAAGTCAGATTTTGACAAAGAACCTCAACCTCTCCTTGCAATTTTAAAATAATTACAAGCAAGTCTTCGGCAACTGAGTGTGTGTCAAAACATGTTCCAAACTGCTAGCTTATCTTCACCGACGCCTTACGGCTATCTTTGTGGTCTAATAGGTAAAAACATTGCTCGGTGTAGAACCCTTCTCACAAAGTGCATAGATCTGCAATCAAGTGTGAAATGTCCTATGTAATAAGAGTTCTGTATGTATGTAGAACTACTACTTCTGGAGTTATCAGATTCTATGATCGAATCTTTGAATAAATAATGATTAACTGCTATGGCTCAGTTCCAATGCCCTCTGTGGACACACATTCCTACGCACTTGTCTAGGCTGACATGTGCCATTGACACTGCTTCTCTAGATAGCGTGGACAGGAGGTACAAAACAATGCTGATACAGACTGGGTCTTCGACCACTGGAAATGAAAATTACCTAAATGCCCTGTTTTAATGAACATACTTTGCAAATAAAATATCTCTGTACATTATTACACTGCTCTTATCTTATTAATATAATGGGATATAATATTCCCATTATAAACTCACTCACCAAAGACAGTAACTTTATCAATTAGATGATTCAACCCTCACTCCATCTTACACAACGCACTAAAAATTCACCACCAAACAAAGAACTTTGAAGATGTGTAAAGTATGGAAATCATGTTTGATCCTCGACGATAAAATTGAGGGAAATAACTTAAGAATTGTCTAGTGGAGGGAATACAATTTAGACACTCCATTGAAAGGTATATAGGCAAAAGCCTGATCGTTTGTCAGGCACGATGGAACAAAACACATTCATCTTGACAGATGGAAACCAATGTAAGGTATTGTGTTAAACAGGCAGCACTCGCTATATTTTTGCAGTGATAGCTGTCACCTAACTAACAGCGATAACCTACCTTCTACTTCTGGAGTGGAGTGTTCGTCAGAGTCGAATGGTGGCCTGGCACTAGCCAGTGCTGCCATGGTTAACATGGCCCAGCACACGAAAGAACAGCAGTGGGACATCCTGTTAGCAAACGGTCTTGGACCTTTGCTGGAACTCCATCTGGACTTTAATCCCATCTGAATTCTTGTGTGTAGGCATGAACAGCCAGCCTCCTCCCTCCTCGCTGTGTTGTGTGGCTCCCTCCTCACGTAAAGGCTGCAGAGAGAAGAATTAGCTCGTCAGTGGGAACCAACGTGAAGCCTATTTCAGCCCAGGAGAAAGCTTGAGGGAGATATCCGAGGCTTCAAAATGTGACGATCGTGCTATTTTTCCCCCCCAAATGTGACAGCAACATCTCCTTAGGAACAATACCGATTTCTGCCTGTGTTAAACTAGATAATGCAGCAATGAAACTAAGATCTATGGAAGCTTAACAAATGTGCGGTTCTTTTTAAACGATTGTAAAAGGGCATCTACATTTAAAAAAAATATAGGTAGGCATGAGAAACAATTTTTTTTTAAAAAAGATAAACTAAAAAGCCTTATTAGAGAAGCACAGCTCTGATCATTCTGAACGCCAGAAAAATTGGAACAGATTGAGAACATATTTTGCTCCAATTTATCCGGACGAACCCCGAATCTACATAATGCGTGATACACAGTTACAATGAACCACCGGGAATTAAGAGATATGAAGTTCATGAAGAATATCTACGCTTTCCTCACTCGGTTTGCGTCTGACCGTTAAAATTCTTTCTGCAGCAGAGATGGAACGGAAAACAACGAGTCGGGGAAAAATGTTACTGGAGAACAAGTCCGACTCCCTTGCCTCCTTCAAGGCCCGTCTCAAGACTTTCCTCTTCGATCAGTCATCTTCCCACCTCCACCCCATTTGCCCACCCACCCAACCCAACACCCCCCACCCCCCACCCCACCCACTTGACTCCAGACCCCAGCTCGGGTGCAAACCAGCGCCTTGGGACGTCCTCCCAACGTGAAAGGCGCTGCGCAAATATAATCTGCTATTTGTGGTTGACACAATAGCAAAATGTGTTTAACAACAACATGCATTTATTGACTATGAATCACACTGATACTTTTTTCCTCCAGTGTTTCCAGTTACTATAACAATATTATTATTAATACTGTCAATTACTAAATGCAACGGATGCCACCAGCCGCCCCTATTACAGTCGACGCACACTGCTGAGCAGAAATGCCCTGCAGTACAGGCTCGGGGAGGAGGGAGGGCATGTGGGAATTACACGAGCCAACAAAAGCCGTGTAATCCAACGCACTCACTCGCTCACATTCCGACTGGAGTCGAGATGCTGATCAGAACACCACAACAAATTAGCTGATACAGAAATTTGGGGGGGGTTGGATAGGGAGGGAGAGAGAGCGAGAGAGCGAGAGAGTGAGAGAGAGAGAGAAAAAAACACCTGACTCAAAAACAAAAGCAACATTTGTAAATAAATATCTCCTTTCCCAGACGACTTGGCTGCAAATTCTGCAGCGAGACAAAAACCTTGTCCCCCCCCTACAAAGATATCCGCTTAAATCAAATTTGTTTCACCGGCAGCCACCAAACTTTTCTTTGTGAATTCAGGGTCTGAATTCCCACGCGAGTCAAATCTCCGACACAACCCTCCCTGTCTGTATCAGATTGTATGAAATAAAATGCAGAAATCGCATCTGTTCAGACTGCAATTTGCTCGCGGGTGTTTTGCTGCGATCCACACAAGTTCCGAAACTGGCGAAGAACACGTCAAGCTCATTTCCAATACTTCTTTCTAACTTTGCCCACTCGAACAAACTTTGCAAGCTGAAATAAATCAGTAATAATAATAATAATGATAATTTGGTCACGCAATCCACGGCCGCTCGTGGTGGACGCTGCTGTGCGCAATTGGCTGCCGCAAAATATACAGTCGATTTCACTTTACAGTGGACTCCGCGAAGCGCTTCGAGACGTCTCGAAGAGGTGATAAGGCGTTATATCAAATGCCAGGATGATTATTGTTGGAACTTCTAAGATCGCACATTATTTGGTACCAGCGGCGAGTGCAATCAATCCTGAATTTGCATGTTAATACAGTGACTCCCTGAGCATAGCACTGATTTATCACAACCTGGGGTAGAACACACAGAACTAATGGGTCTGTCTCATTGTAACAGAGAAAGAAATTAACAAACTATCTGGGGTTTTTATTACACACACAAATACTGTATCCCCCTCAGAGTGCAGTCTATCTGAAAGACATATGTATGGGTTTCATTGGCAAAACTAGTTTCCCTCCCCACTCTCAAAATGTTCTTTGCTCCTGAAATATTTCTGATTTGCTACATGAACATTTGATGCATTATTATTTTTGTTTGAGGAGGAGGAGGGGAGTGGATGGAGGGGAGTGGATGGAGGGGAGGAGGGGAGATAAAACAAAAAGACTTCATTGCATTTTTGTGCTGAGTGAGAGTCCAAAAAAACAAACCAAACAAATAATACACCATTTCTGCTGAATTTCAAAAAAAAACTTGTTTCCAGAGCCAGGAATCTGAAAACCCTGCAATGGAGAGAAAGAAAGAGAGAGAGAGAGAGAGAGAGACAGAGAGAGAGAGAGAGAGGGGGGGAGAGAGAGAGAGAGAGAGGGAAAGAAAGAGAGAATAGATAATAATAATAATAATAATAATAATAATAATAATCCTTGCATTTGATATAGCGCTTTTCACGTCGGGAGGACGTCCCAAAGCGCTTCACAGAACACACTGTAAAGTGAATTGACTGTATATTTGTGATAAAAAGATAAAAAGAAAAGAAGAGAACCACTGCCACAACCAACATGCAGTGAATATTGCAACAGGACCCCAGTAAACCCCCTGAGAGTCCAAGGGCTGAGCCTTCCAAGGGTGGGAGAGAGAAAAAAAAACAGAAAAGTTTGATCAGCAAATACCTGGAAGTTCTTGTCCTATGGAGTTTCTGTGAAGTTCACCCACTGAACATGGAACCTCTCTGCCCAATGCTCATTATATTGGTTCATTCCTTCCAGGAGGAGAAACAACACCAGCAAACAAACCCTCTCTCTCTCTCTCTCTCTCTCACACACACACACTCTCTCACATAGTGAAAGCCACTCACACACTCTCTCTCTCTCTTCTCTTTCTCTTCTCTCTTGAAAGGGAACTTTGTCTCCCTCCACAGCCTACAGTGGGGAGAACTGTCAACTGGATCCTGATTGATGGCTTTGCTTCCAAGCCACCACTTCCCTCCCTCCCTCTCCCTCTCTCTCTCTCTCTCTTTCTCTCTCTCCCTCCTCTCAGTCCATACACTCATTTATTTGCACCTCATCACAGATTTGCCCAAATTAACTCTCTCTTTTTTTCCAAAATTTTTTTAAAAAAACACAACAGATCTGAACCCTGTTCTTGTTCTCTCTGTCTTTATTTTTCTTCTCCCACAAGAGTAGGGTTCAGATCTGCTGCCATTCCTTTCAAGCAGAGGAAAAGTGGGGTGGTGGGAGGGGGGGGGGGGGCAGGGAGAGAGAGGGGAGAGAAAAGGGGGGCACAGAGAGAAAAGGGGGGAAGAAGGGGGGGAAAGAGAGAGAAGGGAAGAAAGAGAAGGGGGGAGAAGAGAGAGGGAAGGGGGGAGAGAGAGGGAAGGGGGGAGAAGAGAGAGAGAGAGAGAGAGATGGGGAGAGAGAGGGAAGGGGAGAGAGAGAGAGAGAGAGAAGGGGGGGAGAGAATAATAATAATCCTTGCATTTGATATAGCGCTTTTTCACGTCTTCTCGATGTCCCAAAGCGCTTCACAGAATAGACTGTAAAGTGAATTGACTGTAGGTTTGCGGGCGAAACGCGGCAGCCAATTGCACACAGCAGCGTCCCACAAACAGTCGTGCGTTGAAAATGACCAATGTATTATTGTTTTGGAGGGATTATTATTAGGCTCTGTGTGGAGTAAGGAAACTTGCCCAAGGTTTCGCCCTGACCTGCCGGGAATTGAACCCAGGTGTCTCGCTTGCAAGGCGAGTGCTCTAACCACTGAGCTACAGGACTCCAGAAGGGGAGAGTGGGGGTAAAAGATAGATGGATGGGGGGGGGTGAAGAGAGAGAGATGGGAGGAGAGAAAGGGGGAAGAGGAAGGAAGAGAAGGAGGGGAAATCTCAGTATACATACATAGTTTACATGCGAGTACTTGCTCCTTAGTTAACTCATTTCACTCCAAATTGCTTATCAAACACATTCCTGCTTACTTTCCCCCCTCTCTCTTGCCCCAAAGCCTTAACAAAACCAACTCACACCAGTTAATTGTGGTGATGAGGCACTACATCAAATGCAAACATGATTCTACAGCATTAATAATAATTGTGTGCCCCTTTGAGCATTCAACATTCCTTACGCCTTAAACAGCATCACCTCATAACAAAAAAAACAGGACAGGATGGACATATAGTAACATACAATTGAGTTTACATTCATCCAAAGTGCTAGATTTTGTTGGATATGGCGGGGAGGGAGAGGAAGAGAGCGCGAGAGAGCGAGACCTTTTTGTGGGAGATTAAATCTATTACTGAGACTCCATCCAGCAAAGCTTTGGGGTAGAATGAATTACCTTGTTTTCTCTCCTCTCTTTTTAACACGCCATCAACATGAGCCACACAGGATCCCTCCAGTTAAAAGTCGAGTTCAGGGTGAATTAAAGTGAGAAGGAATGTGGGGTTTCCCCCCACTTATAGTAAATCAGTCAGTCAGTAAGTAAGTCCTCTAGGAAAGCAAGAAGTTGTGGAACTGCTTAGATCCAACTGTCCACAAGTCTGGTCTGATGTTGCTCTGGATGAGGTTTTAACTACTGCTCTGGATCAGTACCAGTCTGACCTGAACCCAGGTAGACAACATGTTGCTCTTGTAGATTGCAAAGAGTGTCCATTCCTCTTGATTTTCGATGGAGAGAGAGAGAGAAAAAAAGAAAGTAAACGAAAATCACAGAGGAATTGGAATTGTCCTGATAGTACCTCCTGTGAGGATGGATGCAACACAGAGTGAAGAGTGCTGGACACACTGGAGGAAAAGTCCTCTCTGTGGAACCACTTCACTCCACCAGTACTGCTTGTAATCTCAGGAATAAAAGCCTTGTGCTGAAATATTTGCTCTCTCTCCTCTCCTCTGGTCACTCCTCCCTCTTTCTCTCTTTCACCCTTGTGTTTGTAATCTGAGCCCCCATCCCTAACTGGGCTCCATCATCAAACAAGCTGAACAAACTGCCTGCCCCCTCTGCCAATCAAATAAATGTTCAGTAATGTTTAACTTGGTGGGCTAAGGCTGGGACTCCTCTAGTTTTCGCAGCGTGCAATGCACACACAATTTGCTTGGGAGTGTCTCGTCTGTCCATCTATTTATCTATCTATCTATCTCCGCAGCACTCTCAGCTTAAAAAAGAAACCCAAACGCATGGACAAACAGTGCCAGCCAGGCCAAGCAAGTAATAAGCCGCTAAAAAAGAAACGGAATGAATGAAAACGAATGAATGCAAGAAACAGGAAACAACAAGACACTGGGTCATTCACTAATATCTACCTATGGCACTTGAGAAAAGAAGCATTTCAGCTGCACAATGACAAGACAGGCAGCATTTGTTTCGCCTCGAAAAGTAATTGAAGGCGTTTACTCCTCAGAACTCAAAGGACAGCAATCAATCAACAGCAGCTCATTCCGGGCAAAATGAATCACCCCGAATCTGCAGCCTGACATTTGCCTTAAGATGTGAGAAGAGGAGCGTTCACAACAAATAACATTATTGAAGCAATCTTATCTCTTTCTCTATATGCGCACATATATATATATATATAGATACACATATATATGTTTGCGCGTATATTATAAACTAGATCATAATACCCTCAGGGGAATCTTTCACACCAGTTACGTTTCTGAATAGGAACCATAATCTATTCAAAGGTTTTGTAAAGTGGTTGGCTGCTGAGGAACTCTCTTTCACGGCCCTGTTGAATGTGAATGGTATAGCTAATAAGCCCATTAATGAGCCCCACAGTGGAGTGTGAATGGACAAATAGACCGCACTCAACACAGACTGGGGACCAAGGGCAGTAAAGCCATCAGAGGCTCAAGGTGACATTTCAGTCTGCAAAAGAGAACAATAGGTTTAAGTTGGAGTTGAGAGTGGGGACTGACAAGGACCCCATTCAGAGTATTTTCAGCCCCTACTGGGGTCCATTTTATTTTTGTCTATCTCCTGACAAAATATCTTAAGTAGAAGCCCTGGAGACATCCTTTTTACCTCCCCCTCAAAGAAAGAAACAAGCCTTTCTAAGTGTTGAACTGCGGCAGGCTAGGGCACCAGGGTTTATGATAATAATATGATCCTTGCATTTGATATAACGCCTCATCACGTCTCCGAGACGTCTCAAAGCGCTTCGCAGGCTATAACAAGAACAAAATTTGCATTTATATAGCGCCCTTCACGTGGGGTAGCGTTTTATAATGAAATATACTGTGAAGTGAATTGACTGTATTTTGTCGGCTTGGGAAGAAGGGGAATACAAACACACTCCGGAAATATAGTGCATAGATATTCTGGCAGGGCATCATCCATCATTTTACCAGTTAATTGGGGCATACAAGTGCATCTGAGGCACTTTGGGAAAAGAATAAGACAAGCTCAGCACAAAATAAATTGCACATTAGTATCCTCAACAGTACATCTCGTTTGATGAGACATTCCATTTAAGCCTGTTTCACTCCCAGCTCAGTTTGCATTTACAAGCATTGTTTTTTTTCCCCCCCAATTAAAAAAAAGGACATTTAGACTCGCACAGAGTTTCGCCCACAAAATATACAGTCAAGTCACTTCACAGTATTCTGTGAAGCACTTTAAACATTGCAAATATGTGATAAGGCGCTATATCAAATGCACAGATTATTATTATTTATTAGTATAATAGTGGAATGAAGTCTCAGCTTTCACCTCAAAACACAGCGCAAAAAACAAAGAGGATCGTTTTATAATGAAATCCAGCTTTGCTTTTTTTTAAAAAAAACCTCTCTTCTGCAAAAAGCAGGAAACAGTCAGAATCGTTTCAAAAGAACCAAAACACCTTCCTTTGTATTTCAGTCTCTCTCTCTACCCCTCCGCCCCCCACACACAGAGAAAATCAACTTGAGATGGAATGAATCAGAATAGGAACTCAAAACACTTCTTTAAAACTATAGATGAAACCATTTACCACCTCCTATTACTCTCCTAGGGGCTAATTTAGCTTCCACAGTGTGGCCTCCTGTGTGTAGGTGACCAACTGCTCACTTTCCTTCTTGCAACAGCTCCAATGGCAGAATCTTCCACTCCAATATCCTAATAAAGTTACTTTGAAATCCCCCAATCATCCATTGGTGCCATAGTGTCTGAGCCGCTGCCCGTTCTTGAGCAGCATAAATACTGTCCGTCTTAAATGGTAATTAATTCCTTCAAAGTACATTTTGACAGGGAGAGCGCGTGTGTTTTTGTAATGTAAAACACAGTGCTGTGTTTCCAACATTTGTAAGCAGAACTGAGTACGGTAGCGGCTTTGGGAGCGTTGCAATGGGTATCCTTGTTCCTCCCAGTTTCTTTTAAGATCTAAACTCAGTGAGAAAGCAATGGGGACGATGTAAACTTGAAACATTTGGCACAAATTCCTCTTGATGAATTGCTGGGGCTTCAGTGAAATGCAGTGTGTACATTAATTGTCATAATAAGAAGACCACACAGGTTAGAGTAAGGTAACAGGGTTTGGATTTGTACAACTAAATGGGTAGACAGTCAGCCTTAGGTTTTGAAGGTTTGATGTAGGACTGTGCATTTATAATAATCCTTGCATTTGATATAGCGCCTTATCACGTCTTTGAGACATCTCAAAGCGCTTCACAGAAAATACTGTAAAGTGAATTGAATGTATATTTTGTGGGAGAAACACGGCAACCAATTGCGCACAGCAGCGTCCCACAAATAGTCGTGGATTTAATTTTTTTTTAAGCAATTATTACTCCTAGAAAAGTGATCCACCAATCGACTAACAACCGTGTTCCTATTTACTGCTTGGGTAAACTGAGGTGTGTTGAGTACGGAAACTTACCCAACATTTTGCCCTGTCCGGGAATCAAACCCAGGTCCTCCCGCTTGCGAAGCGAGTGCTCTAATAAATAAATAACTGATACTTCAGGTGACAGGAGGCCATTCAGTCACAACACAGACACCCTCGTACACAAGCCACAATGCTTTAAATAATAATATTAATCATCCTTACATTTGATATAGCGCCTTATCACGTCGTTGAGACAGCTGCTTATAGCGTCCATGCAGTTCAATCAAACCTCTGGTATGACAACTGGGAAAAAAAACTGAGTAGATTTGCATGTTTTATCTCAGGACCTTGACATTTGGACTTGCCAAGTCCCTTGAATCACTCCTCCCACGGGAGAAATTTCAAGCCTGGTCTGTTCGCCTTTAAGGACGCTGAAGTCTCCACTCAATGACGCTGAATATTTCGATTGGACAAGAAAATAAAAGTAAAATCTCTTCAATCACCGGAACAAAGAATGTGCAACAGGGAGGGCAAATCTTTTACTTCGACTCGTGTAAACGTCCAACAATGCTTTTTAGAAGAAACGACACAAACTCGTGATGATTCCTGTTCAGTTTACACTGGAGCAGTCCCCACATTTGTTATTCGTTCTTTAGCAGCCTGATCAGTGGCTGTTCTGCTTGATTTATCTCGAGCTATCAAAAAGCATCTATCTTCTTGACTGGCAAGCCACTTGGAAAGGAATCAGGTTTTTTTTTGTGTGCTCATGCAGTTATAAAGCAATGGCATAGAGACCTAAAAGCTATCGTTTAAACCACAAAAATGTTGGCCTTGTCCCTGCACATTAAACACAGACAGATAGCTCACTCTGTAGATGTCTGGAGGAGGAGCCGGATTATCTGGTTACCTTAATATAATCCTCCATTAAGATCACCGCACCTCAAGAGGCACCTAATTTATAACTGATGAAAAGATAGCTGACCGTATAATTTTTTTTACACCGTTCCACAAATTCTCGTCTTCTCAGCACAAAGCAGAAAATCAGGAATAACGATATGTGCGATTGTGTTAATTTGATGTTCTACAACATTTGAAATGCATAAAAGGAGTCTTAAAAGTTAATAGCAAACTTTAATTCTTATGGTTGGCTGCCTGACAAAGTCAACAAACAGTGGAATTATTTATCCCACGGTGACAGGCTACAGATAGTGTCCACTGTGACCCTGAACACAAGCCATATCGTACATTTTTCTCCCAAAGCCCTGAAATGGCCTGCCACAGAGTAAAGGATTATTTCAGATAGAGTAAACAATCCAGTTCAGTAACGCCTCCCCAGCGCCAGGAGTGTATGGCCAGCACCAGTTTCCATATGCAAACGGTGGCTCTCCTACGCTGCTGACTCCACATCGCTGTCTTCTTTAGAAAAGATACAGCGGCGGAAGAGAATTGCCCACAAAACATACAGTCACTACACTTTACAGCATATTCTGTGAAGTGTTTTCAGATATCTAGAAGATGTGATAAGGCGTTATATCAAATGCAAGGATTGTTATTATTATTATTAATTATCATAATATATCAGTACATCTGCCTATTGGGCTTGTGGTGCACAGATGCTGCATTCAGATGTGTAGTGAGTGCTATTACTTAGTTCACTAACACTCTTTTGGGAGTAAATCATTACATCCCGATTCCTCCAATCGCATTTCTTCCTCCAGTCAGGGTTAACATCAAATGCTTTGACAATCTTTATCATTTGTTGTACGATATAACTCATGAATCCGTTTAGGTTCGATTTCCACCTCCACCATGGGACGCCCCATATCCACTGCCTATATTCGAATCAAAACAA